TGGAGGTCGCTGACAATTTTGCCGCCATCCACGGCTCGAGCGATAAGACCAAGATCAGTGGCAAACCGAAAGTAAAAAAGATCGACGCGTTTAACGTAGTTACAGCTTCAGCATCATCTTCATCTTCTTCCTCTAGCGCAAATACAGTAAGCAGCCTCGTGATCTCTCGCAGAAACTGCTGACGTTCGCTTAGCTTCGGCATGGTGACCGTCAACAACTGAAAAGGGGGGGAATATCGTATCGTTAAGTACGAGATATGTGCTCTAGATCGACTCCCCCTTTCCTTTTTTGTGCTCAAATTTCGATCAACAACCACATCACAATCACGACACGGTTATGCTCACAAATTTGGATTATTTTTGAAGGTTCGACCCCCCCCCCTTTTACTCACTAGTGCGCTCGTGGTAGCAAATAAAGTGCACAGGTTTCCTATATATTTCATACTCGAGTAACGGAACTTGGAAGTAGTAGATAACTTGACGGTTTTCCGAGCCACGTTTCACGCCGTAGTTTACTCTATGAAATGAATGCACCCGTTCCCTCCCCATTTTTTCAGTGAAATTTACCCGACTTTTGGAGATTTCCATTGAAAAAGGCGAAAATTGACATTTTTCACCAACCACGCTCCGCAATGACCCCCATAAATATTGGGCTAGGCCCTCCCAATTTGACGGGGTAATTTCCTCCTCTTGCGACATTTCACAGAAATCGATAAATAGAGCATTGTACTGGTAGTGCATCGGTACGAACTAAACGTACAGCCCAACTGGGATTAATTGATGTCTGTGTGTTGTGTTTTACACACAGTGTCATGCAATACAAATATCAAGTGAATCCATTTATATTTTGTTACATTCGCAAAGATTTTTTTTATGGGTATCGAGCTGCGGAGGGAAAAACATTCATGACCGCATTGACTTGGAAAGCAAATTAATTTGTAGGTAATGTCTATCTGGTGCGTTTGTATGCACCCGACCCACATCGTTGTTGTTGGCACTTAATTCGTTTACAAACCAGGCAATAAAATAACTGTTAGCCTAAAGATACACTAAATCGATGCGTTAACGTTCGTGCTTATATCCTTGGATATGCCATTTCACGTCACCTTTTTGGTGCGTAGTGTAGCAGTTACATATTGCACTCAATCCGTCATGCTCCTGTTTGTACTGGTGGGTAAAACGTAGGTAATTTGAGTCCGACCAGTTCGGAACTGCGGCAGCAGAGGGCTCCCTTGGAGGGTGGAGTGGCTACCGCGGTCACCAAAAGCCGAACTGAGCCAACACTTACTTTAAAAATGTTTGATCAAAGGTTCCGGACCAAGATTCTCCATCTTTCAAATGAGTACTGTGATTATTCCAAAAACGAAAGACGTCACGGCTTTCTAATGTTTCGCATAGCTGGTTAGACAAACATTATGCTATAAAACCTGTTTTCAGTGCAAGTCGCAGACGATATACTAGACCATATAGTGCTTTTACTCAGCACTACCAGCCCAAATCCTTCTAGTTTTAGAAATTCACCAATGTGCCATCTACCTCCCTCTGGAGAATGCTTGGTATCTCAAGACCGGCATCCCCAAAAACGGCAAGAACTGTTGAAATGAGTCTGGCTTTAGTTATTGCTGGTTGGAACGGCGCTCCAGTGGAAGCACACCAACCTAACAGCCCACTGCATTGAATACTTTGTAAGGATTTCTACTAAAACTGCGGACTTAAGTGCAGTTTCACCCTTGGGGTTAAGCAAAAAGTAGTGTAGCAGGGCACGACCAGGATCGGGCGAACCCGAGCGTGAAGATGGACGCGCTCGAAGCGGCACGCACGACAATGATTGGGAGCACGAACCCGAGTAGTCTGACCAAGATCTCTTAGTGAGGGTGATGCGGTGGGCGATAACGGCGAGTGGTTGAAGTACCACCAGACGGCAACTGCTTTGTTTGGAAATTTGTATTGGACGTTTGACACGGACGGCACGGGCACCACGGACGGCCCGATGGCCGAGCCGGGCAGTGACTCTGGATCTTGCAACGGAGATCGCAGTCACTCTGGAACTTGCAACGGAGAGCACAAGTAGCTCTGCAATCTGCGTTGGAGAACGGACGTTGGGACGAGATGTAGTGAGCGCTTGGACTGACCTTGACCGAACGATAGTGTGTCCGAGACACACGAAACTGGACGGTAGCCAGTGGGGCTTGCGACGGCGAGCGACGGCGAGCGCCGGTGACAAACTGGACGAACTGGACGAACGTACGGACGGCACGGACGGCGGCGCTGGCAACAGACTGTTCACGGCGGCGTGGTGACTGGTGACGAGAGGTGTGAGTGGCGCAGGACTGCAACGGTGGTGATGTTTGCTGAAGACTGCGCTCGTGAGGGTAGGCGCTGGGGGCGTACACCCGAGTGGTTAAGTGAGCATCGACCGCGGACTCTACAAAGGACATCAGTACGACGCAAAAGGTGTACGGTGATTTGGTGTCGTAGGAAGTGCTTGTATTGATTAGTTTAACGTAAATAAGTAGATCTCGCTGTCAGTTGGACATGAACCGGCGCAGCGAACGCAGTTGTTCGCTGACGGCCATCAGGACTTTGGACGCATATCAGCATCGTGGACCATCAAACCCGGCGTGCAGGGTAGAGCGAATCGATGAGTACAGCTCAGACTGCTTACGTTCGATCCACTTCAATACTCATAGTCCCACGTGAATCGAAAACCCACGTGGATCGAGTTTCTGGGGTTAATTCGGTTCCCTAAATTTGTCCTGAACCATGGTTCACTTCTGGCTCGTCCAGACCGTAATTTATCCCTATAACGGGCTAAGAGTGTCCGTTATCTTTGCATACACGGTGGCTAGGAAGCGTCGAGGAGACTCAGTCCAATTAAGTCTAAATTGTCGGAATAGGGGAAAATCAATTCTGCTTTATTATGGAGCCAGGGCAGTAGCCCTGCTCCCTTTCGGGAACCACTCAACTGAGGTCGATGCCTGATCGGCTGGTTATCTGCCAATCAGGACATGACACGCAGCCCGCGCTACTCGCATGCTGCTACTG